CTACACACTACTATTTTATTACATGATTAGCATACCTAAAATTGATTAACATGTTTACAACCTACTTTTCTTTTTACATAATAACTAGCTTAATACCATATTATTTACCAAAAATGGTTTTATATATTCAAAAGCCTACCCTTCCTTTACATGCTAGACTTCTAAACTTGTTTACTTGGTCATTACTTTTATCATCCAATAAAATAGAGTAGTTATACAAAGTATAAATACCAAAATATTGAGGATTAATAACATGACCACTTGTAATAATTCTAACTTATAAACACAACTAAGATACACCTTACGGACCGATGAGAGAGTTCCATCGGTAACTCAACTCTAATGTGAACATGGCCATTATTCTCTCGTTTTTCACCTCTATATCACAAGAACTCGCGTGAGCTATTTCTCGGTAAGTTAGTCATGAATGTTATGCTCGTATACAAGTGAATGCACTTCAAAATATTTTTCATGTCCTTTTTGAAATCCTTTTTCCTTTTTCTTTTTTAGATGTCTTATCGAATGTATATTATACATGCATGTGTATATATTCGACCTTCTTTTTCTTTTATCATTTTCTTCCGTCAAGGTCTTTACCAATTCCCCCAATAAAAAAATCGGAGATAATTAAACCCTTAATAACCTTTTTCCTTTATCATTTTCTTCTGTCGAGGCCTTTACAAATTCCCCCAATGAAGAAATATCGGGGATAATTAAACCCCCAATAACCCTTTTCTTTTCTTTTCCTTTGTAAAAATCATGAGAAAAAATCTTTTCATGATTTTGACATGCATATGCATTTAAATGTAAATGCATATCCTCATGAATTAATATGATGCATGTCATAAGTAAATGTGTATTTATGTAATAAAATTGCATGCCTCAACATAATAAAAATGTACATAACATTTCATTACCTTTCATATTTAATCCATCACGTTCAATTTAAAGTACACGATCCAATCAAATGGAACATTTACCACAGTATACCGCACAACATCATATTTTACATAATCATACAATAATAGCATCAATATATTCACACTTTGGCAATATTATTTAATCAATAAGTTATTGCACCAATCAATTCTCTCATTTCACATCTTCCAAAATCATAGGTAATCATGTTGTAATTACATAATTGTATACATGAAACATACGTAATATATTAAATCAACCACAAAATCACTAATCTAAATAATAGTATGGTTAACTAAATTTTTCTCTAGAACTTCATAGATGGTCGAAACTTTCCTTGGGCTAAGTTAGGTGAATTTTTCATTTTAATTACTAATTTACATACTAATCCATTTAATTATTGTAATTTCCTTATTTAAATCATGTAACAATAATAATGTATGGATTAAACTTTTAACTCTAATTTGTTCTATTTGGGCCAAATATACACTTAGTTTAAGCTAGGTGAATTTTTCAATTTAAATGTTATTTCACATGTTATATCATCTAATTATACTTCAATAACATGTATTCTATCAATTAAACATCAATAAATCAAATGTACTACAAACTCTAAAATTGCTCACTTTGGCCGAAACTTTTCTCTTAAATTAAGCTAGGTAATTTTACATTTTTATCACTTGTTTTCATGCTTAATTAGTCTATTTCATTATCAATTTTAAAACATAAATCATTTTACCCAATTCACATGTTCAAGAACCCTAATCCTAATTAATTTATTTATTCAATTAAACTTTAATTAATTATGTAAACCTAACAATTCATGCAAAATTAATTACATAGCACCATCAATTCACTTCACCAATAATAAATTCAATCCAAAAGTCACATGTTTATATATAAAAGCTTCCATTCCCATCAACATCATCACATATAACATACATAATCTTTCCACTTAAAATCATTCAATTCAACACCAAAACTTAAATTCTTGTGATGAGTGAGACTAACTTACTTTTAATGTTGCAATTAATTCCTTTCAAGTTGAATTTTTAAAAGCTTTTCTTCCCTCCTTCTTCTTTCAAGTTTTGGCCCACTCTCTAAATTTCCTCTTTGCTATTTTTGATCTTCCAATTATGATTCCAAGCTTGATGGAGTGATTTAGGAGGTGTTTAATATATTGGTTTATTTAGTTAATGATTTTAGTAAGTTTTTTTGCAAGAGTTTGGCTTTATTTTTTCTATTTTTTCACCATTTTTTCCTTCTCCTATAAGCTAAATTTATAGGCAAAATGGTGGACTTTTCTTGGTTTAACTCTCATCTTAGCCCTTCATTTGTTTCTATCTCCACCATTGATTTTTCTTTTAATCCTAGCCATCCATTTATGCCTTTAGATGAGACTTTTTGTTAAATTGCATATTAACATTTATTAAATAAGAGATGAAGTGGCAGTTAGAGAAGAAAAATTTGACCAAAAATATTTATTTTGGTCTTTTATTTTGTTACACTATTTTATTTTAGTCCCTACATTTTAGTCCTTTAAATTTTTAAATGAATATTTTTAGTCCTTCTCTTAGGATTTCAAACATTTTTATGCCTCCTAAAATTTACTTTCAAATTTATTTAAGGGCTAAAATTTTTAATTTTATACAATCGAGTCCCTAATTCTTATGTAATTAAATCTCTATGCGCATAATTAATTCTACACAAATTAAAAAAAAATTCTTTTCATAATAACTCCATGCCTTTTATATAGTAATTTATTTATCAATCATATAATTTTTATGTACTTATTTAGGCACTCAAAATAATTATTTTGCATAAAAGGCACTTATTCATGCACGTAGAAGCTAATAAAATATTCACCAATTATAGAAAAAATTAGCATAAGTGCTCGAAATATTCTAGCACCCTTCTAGCAATTGTTCTTTGCACACGTAATAATTTTCATACATATTTAAAATATATTATTTTATTTATTCACGAGTTTGGGATATTACAAAAAGACTCATCATAATAATCGTCCAAACTTTTTGTTTTATAGCCAATAACTTATAGCTACATGCTTACATGACAGTCTAATCTTTTCTTACCATCTATAACTACAAGTCTCATTCCTCACATTCACTACATATTTATGCTCTCTTTCCTTCAATTCATACTCATTATTTCTTCCCACAAACATTTTTAGAATCCTATAGTGTAATTTTTTATAGTTGTTGTTTTATTTTTGGACAAACCTTTCCTTCCCACGTAGTTATTTGATCATATCCGACTTGCATTCTAACCATTAGTTTCGTCTAATTTATCCAACACTTGAACAAGTAGGAGGTGTCCGATATTCCTAACCCACTTATTGAATGGCTCTAACATGTTATTAGTTAGGTGATCACTTTTTGCCTCCGACCAAAAAACATGTCTTGACCATCGAGATGGAACTCGTCTTATATCTAGCCGATTGCACCTTCTAGATCTTCTTCAAATTTTCGTATTAATTTTTTGAACTAAAAGGGATAAGTTGCTTTATAAATAGCCTAAAAGTCAGTCTTTAATATGGATGAAGACCCAAACTTACTCTAAAACTTTATGAATAAATATCTATAACGTAATCTATTAATTGCATCGAGAAATACTTGATCATATGCATTAATTAGTCCATATTTATACATAAAAGACAAAAGGCGATCAAGTACATGTGTAATAAATTTTAATAAAGAAAAAATACATAGAAATATTGAAATAATTTTTTTTATTACCTACCTTTTGTCTATCATGAATCTATAATGAAAGGCTAAGGCCTTGCATCGCTTACTAAACTAATATATTTCTTTAAATGTTTCAAAAAGACTAATCAAGATTTATTGGATTCACTTTCAACAATAGCAAATGCAATAAGAAAAAAACCTTTGTTTCCATCAAGTCCTAATGCACATAAAAGTACTAGACCATATATTCCGTTTAAATGACAACCATCCATTCCAATAAACGAGTCTTCCTACTTATAAAAACCCTATTTTCATCCATGCAAGCAAATGAATACCCTTTTAAAATGTGGGCTCTAATTAAGAGGTAAATATTATTGCACGTGCTCCACAAATGTATTTGGTTTTGTGTGTTATAGTAGTTCAATATACCTTTTTAGGTAATGAAAATATTCTCCATGTGTGTCTTCATTGGCCACTTTTACATATAACTTGGCCCTATGTAACTACCATTCATTTAGATCAGCTTCTTCATTTAGCAAGTAAGCTTTTCATAGTATCAAAACTCATATCTAATTCTTCCTCAAATATTTTAATAATTCCTTCTTAATCCATTTTGAGTTCACATCACCATTACATCGCCCACTTAGCCTCACATAAGTGTGCTTATCATTCAAGGTTTTTACCATGAAGGATTTATTATCGAGTGTTCGTGATGTACAAAACTTCCATTCATAACCATCTCATTCACAATAAGCAACAATCTAACCTTATCATTCTTTTTTTTTTACGAATTGGATAACCACCATAAATTACATAAGTTCTTAGTGCATGTCTACATTCATCTTTATCCTTAAGATATGACTAATCAAAAAGTTAAACTCCTCTTCAAGACTTGGTTCTTTAAACCTCTATACATTGTAGTTTTTCAATGGATTTATAAGGGATTTTCACCAAATTCTTCATCCTTAAAACTTACATTATTGGCGTAATTATTTGATCCATAATCATTAAACTCTGCATCAACATCTTTATTATCAACATCATTTGGGATGTTAGTATCACTCTCACTCGGAGCTAATATCTTTAGTTAACACATTATCATTTACAACCTAATCTTCATCCTTACTATCATCACCAAATTCATAGTCCTCATCGGAAAACTCATATTCTTTATTAACATGTTGTTTCTTATCCGCCTCCTACTTTTATTAGCATTAGTTGAGTTAGGATGTGCCTTTCTATTTGTATTTTCACTCTATTTTCTAACATTTGTACCCACCGAACCTTTTCTTTTAATTCCTCTAAAACCTTTTGTTCTTTTCCTTCTACTTCTCTTTCTAATACATTCAAAAACTTTTTTCATCCTTTCTCTAACATCTACTCCATCAAGATTGACATTTTCAACATTTGTTTCCATACCCACATTCTTCTCACGGACTCTAACATTAATATTATCGAATTCATATCAACCCCCTTCATATTCATATCTTTAACATTGATATTTCTACCATCATTCACATCCACTCCACTCGAAATCCCCCTGTAAGAGCCTTTGAGTCCAAAGTCCTACTCAACTCTATCAATAAATCATACATATTTTATCCTTATAGGTAAACACCTTTGTCTTTTGGGTGATATCACATACAATGGAATACCAATGTCATTATCTTCTATGTGTATTGACACCTCCTCAAGGTCCAAGTAACTATAATAATTGAAAACACTAATCAAATCCTCATCACTTGTAATCGATCTTTCATAACCAACGAACTAGATTGACAAAGTTAAAACGAGAAGAGAAATCCATGTCAAGATCCATCTTCATGATATAGTACCTCATCCGTATTACGTGATTTATTAAATTAGATAATTGATAACTAAGACCGAATAAGACCTATTATAGGAAAAAAAAAGAAATTATTTTACAAAACCCTAATTTTGCAAACCCTAGATATACAAATCATCAAAATTATAATAAATAAAGCAAAATTTTGACACATTCTATCAACATTAACATACTAAATAAAACCCTATTTTATTTTTCAAAAGTCATTCCCTAAAACACATGAAAAACCCTAACTAACAACTCACATTTAACAATCTATAACTAACAAAAGAAAGTTTAAACTAACCTTAAAAAGTCAACTGGAGTTCTAATTATACAATTGAAAAAGAGGTTTGTTACTATGTAAACCGAGCAAGAACGACTTATAAAGAAAAACAAAAATATTGAGAGAGACTAAGATAGAGCATTATAACCATAAAATTGAGAACAAGGACATAAACAAGTATGAAGATCAAACAATGATAGAAACAAGTATGAAGGTTAAACATAAGAATTTTTTAGAGATAAAAGAGTGTGTTTGTTTCATGTTTGTGATGAAGATAACTAGAGAGATGAAAATGTGTGTTTGTTTCATTTTCGGGATGAGTTTATATATTCAATGAGTATTTTTGGCATTAAATATAAATTAGACGACTCCATCAAGAATGTTAGTCCGGGGGACTAAATGATTAGTTTTTTAAAACCAAGAGGATTGAATAATTCGTTTCTCTTAATGAGAGGTACTATATTATATTTTACTCCTCTTATAAAAAAGAGACCCTAACATTCCAAGTAAATCCAATCATATTTGCCTTTATATACTTTCAATGGTCTAAATACAACTCGAGGTGTATCAAATCAACCAAAAATAATTCATCATTTCTAATGGATTTCAAGCATTTTGAAATGCATAGGAAGCATCACAAACCCTATTAGGATTACGAGTTATGTATATGTCACACATTTTTTTGTCATAGAAATTTCATTTTCAAATTACAATACCTTTCAATATAAACAACAAAGGAACTTCTTCTCCGGGTTCAATTTTGTAAGTGAAATATATATGTGTGTGTGTGTGTGTGTGTGTATGTGTGCGTGCGTGCGTGCGTACGTGCGTGTGCGTACGTGTGCGTGTGTGTTTATCTTTGTCTTGTGCTTTCATAAAGGCATCTTAAAAGTTACAAAAGATATTTTAGAAACTTCATCCATGTTAAAGTTACTACCTATAGACATTTAGGTAGTCATATGAACAATTATAGGTCTCGTTTGGGTTTTAGATTTGAATTTTTTTTTTTTGGAATAATCATGGAAATGGGGGTTGGATAGAAAGTGGTTTGGAATTTTGAATTTAGGGGATTAGGGTTTTTAGGAGATTTTCTTGAAGGTTTGTCTCTCGAGGTTTAGGATTTTGAATTTAGAGGATTAGAAATAGAGAGGGGTTTGGGTTTTCAATTGTTGAACTACGATAACTACTTCACGAAAAAGAAAAAGAATAAGATTGAAGGATCCGTGGGTTTAGAGGATGAGAAGAAAGAAGAAGACGAAGGCAGAAGAAGGGAGATGATGGTCTTTTAGGTTTGTTCGAGTAAGAAAATTTAGATAAAGAAAATAGTGGTCCGTGGATTTTTTTATTAAGAGAGGGATGAAGAAGGAATAGGGTATGCTGTGTAGAATTGAAATGAAAAGCACATGACATACGAGTTAGGATTAGCAAGTTCAGTCTAATCCGAACCGGGGATTTTGTTGTAATTGGGGTATACAAAGGATGACATGTCTTTCAAGTTTAGTAATTAATTTTTCAAGTCACTACTTATGTGGATCCTACATGTCACATTTAATCTAGTTATCATGCTTTGTCACATGCCATGTTAGCTTTGATCGAATTTAAGTAGAAAAACTTGATCCGTGCTAGTATTGTTATCGGAGGTTTAGTTCATGACCTTTGTATCCAAAATTAAAAGAACGAGTTAAAATATTAAAAAGTGAAAATTCGTAATTTTCCGGTTCATTAAGCCAACATTTATTGACAACATATATAGTTTTTCTCATCAATTTTCATTTATAACTACAAAATTGGTGCCTTGACTAAATGGATTGTTTTATTTAAGTGTATGTATTTGAAATGTCTATACTTGGTCAAGAGAAATTACTAAGTATGTTAGAAATTGTACTTCGTCCTCTCATCAAAATAGAATATCTTATGAAATTATTTATTATTTATGAATTTCATCATTATGTGAGATATCAAAATAAAATAGTTATCATAAAAATTATTTATGAATTCCATCATTATTTGAGAGAAGAGAATATAATTTCATATATATTGAATAATTCTTTTTTGTAATCAATTGAATAACTTGAAAAACTTTCACTTAAAAATTGAGTTTTACGCATATCGAGATCTCGTATAGTTTGAATTTTTTATTGAGACTATAATTTTTTTCTCGTCCAATTTAAGAGTTCTACTCTTATATTGTTGTTTCAAACCCTAACGTGTTACGTAAGCACACTTGACAAGCTCTAGCCAATGATAACTTGCCACATGTCGTGGTGGGCCTTTGGGTTTTAACGAAAATAGAAAATTTTCTCATGAATTTTAAATAACTAAACAAATATTAAACCTAAAAATAGGTTATGAAAATACCATTCAACCCTAACCCGCTAAAACTAAAAATCCACTTCTCCCTCTAATTCATTTCGAGTTTTTTTTTTTAATCTTTCCTCTTTCTCAATCAAAACTTACAATCCCTAATTTTCAAATTTCAAACCCTCATACCCAATTTTTAATTTTCCAATTATAAACCCTAATCCCCATTTCCTCCAATTTCAAACTTTCTCCTCTTACCTTCTCTCAAATCATGACCGAGCAACCCCTCGGATCTCTCTCTCTCTCTCTCTCTCTCTATGCATAAATGACTTGTAATATCTTTGATCACGATTTTGTTTCTCAAACCCTTACACATATCATCATCAAAATTAATTATTAGGAACTAAAGTACCCAAAGCCTATGGTCCTTGCCTTTGTTTTTAAGACTTTCACCACATCATAACCCGTTTTGGTTTTTGCATATCTTCAAGTTATGAATTATTATTTGTCGCCATTAGAAGAAAGAAAGATGTAAATGAAGTTTTATTTCCATAAATAGAAAAAGCGAGAATCAAACATTTTTTTATGAATTTTATTTTCTTTAACCGATGCATGGAGCAAAAAAGAAAAATATTGAACTATCGTTCTAGGTTGTTCTAGTGTCATATAAGTCATCCGAGATTTTCACAATCGTTATTCATTTGAATTAAAAAAAAAACACTTGCAATAAGATTTTTAATTTCCAACAAAAGTCGAATAAAACACAACGAAGGAGAAAGAAAGAGGAAAAGTTAAGAGGGAAATGAGGATTAAGGCTTATAATTGGGAAATTGGGGATTGGGTATGAGGGTTTGAAATTTGAGAATCAGAGATTGTAAGTCTTGATTAAAAAAAAAAAAAACTCGAAATGGATAGGATAGAGAAGGGGATTTTTAGTTTTAGTGGGCCAAGATTGAATGGTATTTTCCTAACTTATATTTAGGTTTATTATTTATTTAGTTATTTAAAATTCATCAAAACAAATTTTATTTTCGTCAAAACCCAATCTGGGCCCACTATGACATGTGGCAAGCTATTATTAGCTAGAGCTTGCTACGTGTGCTTACATGGTATATTAAAGTCTCGAAGTAGTAATAACATAATAGTAGAACTCTTAAATTGGACATAAAAAAATTAGGGTCTCACTAAAAAAAATTTGAATTATACAGACATTTCAATATACACAAAATCTTTTAAAAATCTATGATGTGTCCGTTAAATAGAAAGTTAACGTTGAAAAGTAAATATTATTTTGCTCATAAAATTATTTAAAAATTTTTGATGATGTTTGTGTTGGCTTAATTATTTTCAGATTGATTTCTTATACGTTTTTTTTCCCTTATTTTTTCTATTGAAGAATCTATGTGATTAAAATTTTACCAATTGAATACCTCTCATTTTATAACCTAGTTTTTCAAAATTCTCAACTCATTCGTGACCAAATACTAATCCTCTTTTATAATAAATATAGTGTTTCGTTTAGGATGATTTTCATAAATTATTCAACAAAAAATGAAAATAAAATTTTAAAAATTAAAAACAAATAAAAATAAAAATGATAAAATAATTTTTAGAAGAAACCAATATACTTAATCGACGACAATTTACCATTACAAACCTTTCGGAAAAAAAAAAAACAGTCAAATACAAATAGAAAACTCATCCAACACAAGTAATAATCTGTAATTAAATAATTTTCAAATGCAACCTAAAGAAAGCATTGGATTGATCAAATTTGGAAGGGTACATACCACATTTAACATAAATTTACAATTTACAGTTGACTCCTAAAAAATGGAAAAAACTTGAAACAGAAAAGAAGAGAAAAAAAAGCACGGATACCAAACAAGCGTTACCATTAATTAAGCCGTAAAAAAGCATAGAAAAAGAAATACCCTGGGAGTTTTTTTGGTGGAATGGGAGGAAAAAAGAGAGTAGTGGGAACTGAGAAGTTTGATAAAGTCAAATCAACAATCAGCAGTGGAAGTGAAGGGAAGTTGCAATTCACCATCCTTCAATGCCACTCAATGTGTTATAACTCCACGCTCGGCGTACTTCTAATCCTAACATAAACGCGACGCTGGAGGCAAATCGTTAGACCGACACACACACAGGACAGAAATCTCCCTTTCACCCGCCCAAATTTGACTCTTCTCTCTCTCTCATCTCAGATCTAATAAATAATAATCTAAGTTTAAAATTAAATGCATAATTGTTGGTAGAAGAAGATGGAATCGGCGCCGATTCGGGTACCGTACCGGAATCTCAAGAAGGAGATAGAGGTGGAAATGGTGGGTTTGGAAATGGAGTCTCCTCCTTCTCCCACTCATCCTCCTCCTCGGATCCAGTCTCCTCTTAATCCTAATTCCAATGGAGATTTCAGATCTCAATCCATCAAAAATCATATTAGCTTAATCCCTCTTGTCCTCAGCTGTACTGTCGCTGCTGGTGTTCAATTCGGCTGGGCCTTGCAGCTTTCTCTCCTCACTCCCTATATACAGGCAACTCCACCATCTTATTTCTTGATTTCAGCATCGTCTTGGTACTGCATTTCTTTATATGTACTAATACTTGCTGGGTTTTGTTGCAGACACTTGGGATTGGACATGCCTTTTCATCCTTTATTTGGCTTTGCGGTCCTATTACAGGTCTTGTGGTAGGTCATGCTAAATCATCTTCTGTTCGATTGAGCTGAATCTAGTTTATTCATCAACTTCTTCTCGGATTTTGCTTTGTAATTTGCAGCATCATTTATGGATTTCGATTATTAGTTACTGAGCTGCTGTTATTTTAACTGGAGGAAGAGATATTTGCATTCCGAATATGCCTTGGATGAATTTGAGTTAGTCAGGGATGACGGAGCATCTTGAGAGATTTCCTTGTACATTAATTAATTAATCGATTGATTATTATCCTCAATAAAAGGGTTATTAACTACATAGGGACCTTGATAGCACCAGTAACAATCTGAACCGATCCGCATTTTTGTATGGAATGATCGTTCTCATGCCTTGAACCGGCATCTTTTAAAGACTTTTACCATTATGCTAGTTAATTGCCCTTTATGATTATTTGGCACTTGTACCTTGCATCTTCTTTTGCAACTAGAAGCTACAGTTGATTTTGCAACTTAACCACATGCACTTTAGAGCTGACTTGATTTCAGTAGTTTTCTTGGCATTTTAAGAGAGTATATCATGCTTTTAATGTGGTCATTGATGATTTTATTTAGTTGTAAATGATGCTAGCTACAAGTAATTAATCATTTCTCCAGTATCATGAATTTTGGCTTGCATTAGTTATTGGGGTTTTGTCTCTTAGATTCAACCTTGCGTTGGTATTTGGAGTGATAAATGCTCTTCAAAATTTGGAAGAAGACGGCCATTTATTCTTGCAGGATCACTCATGATTTCTGTTGCTGTAAGTGTTGATGAATCTATTTTTTATAATAGTTTCTATTATTACTATTTGCTACTATAACTTCTTTGACCTAAACTAAATCTTGTAATTTAGGTGGTAATAATCGGATTTTCTGCAGACATTGGATATGTATTAGGGGATACAAAGGAGCATTGCAGGTTTCTGCTGCATTCACTTTAGTTGTATTTTATTCCACGAATATTGCTTTCAGACTTATCAACTTATCCATGGAGCTGCAGTAAATTCAAGGGCACTCGAACGAGGGCAGCTTTCGTCTTTGTTATTGGCTTCTGGATGCTGGATCTTGCCAACAATACAGTGCAGGTATGGCTTGCTATCATGATTATTTTGAGCCTCCTTATCACTGCTATATGGAAAGCATGTTGGAAAATTGTAATGATTAATCACCATGGCACCAGCTGCACATCTAGTAAACAATGCGTTTCTTTTATTTTTTCAGGGACCAGCCCGTGCCCTTCTAGCTGATTTATCAGGTGCCATTTTGTCTTTGTTTTTAATGCACTTAATTATTTTGTTCACTTTCTAATGGAACCTGCTGCGTTTCAATGTCTGTATGCTTATCAATTGACAACATGTTGTTACCACTACATGAATTATGGCCTTATGGGTGTTAATGCAAAACATAACTAGATGTACTATTACTGTGTTTTAGGTCCTGATCAACACAATTTATCAAATGCTGTATTTTGCTCGTGGATGGCTGTTGGAAACATTTTAGGATTTTCGGCTGGTGCTAGTGGGAGATGGAACAGGTGAAATTTTTCGTGTTTATATGTGGAGAATTTTCCAATTTTCAAGATTGTTTTTTTATAGGAAATAGAAAACTATAGAAAATAGGTTTACTAATTGAAAATGTTTTTTCTTGGAAACCCATGCTTTCTGTTTCTTCAGATTTCTAGAAAACTAAAAAAAGCCAAAAAGTGTTTTTCCAAACTCTCCATCATAAAAGACAAGGGCCTTGTTTGATTCACCTTATTTTTTATGTTCGTTTCTCTGATTATTTTTAATGTAAGCCCAACAAAGCCCTTCTTCTTTTTTTTGAAGAAAATTTGTATTTAATAAACATGTTTCATTAATTTTTCATGCAAAATCTTGTTAGAATAATTAAGAAAACTAGAAATGGAAATTACACAACTATTTCCTGAAAGTAAACACAACCTGCATTTTTTATGCTGATGAATATACATATGCGTGCGCTCTCATTTTCCTCCTATCCTTTGTACATTGTGCTATTGTAACTGACCTTTGATATTGTATGACATGAATGGTGCTTTGTCTTATTCAACTTCTTTTATTTTAAATTTTTTACATGTTATCATCACTAGCTTATACAATTGGATATTAAGTTGATCAGTGTGTCTAATGCTTCTATTCTAAGCAGATGGTTTCCTTTCTTGATGAATCAAGCTTGTTGTGAAGCTTGCGGAAATCTTAAAGCTGCATTTCTTGTAGCAGTAGTGAGTTAATTTATCCTTGCATCCAGTTCAATACTTTGGCATGCCATTGTTTTGGTACATGTAATTTGCTTGAGATATTACGCTTGTGTTCCCAATTCTGTTTTATTCTTTTTATGCTTCACACCTCATTATCTTCTACAATTTATTTATTTATTTATTTTTATTTTCCAGAATTGATTTAATATACACTGGGTCCTCTAATTGGTTTTCTTTGCAAGTTCATGCATCAAGGAAAACTTCTGAAACTATTCCAATAGTCCTTGGCATAAAATATCTCTAAACCCAATCTCTTTAGAAATATGATCTTTTTTTTGTCTCTTGTTAGCCTACTATAATTTCCTCATGAAGTCAGCCAAGCATTCCTCTTTTGACTAGATCCAATAGCTTCGCAGAAAGGAAAAAGATATACATTTCTCTTCTTGGGGAGGGTTGAAATGAAAAAGAAAATGACTAAAAAGGCAATTTCGAGGTTGGTGGCATAATTTTTTTTAGGGTAAAATGCACATACTACATCTCTCTCTCTCTCTCTCTCTCTCTCTGCTACACGATCACTAAAATAATGGAATAAAGAATCCTAGTAACAAAGAAAAATGCAAAATATCGTGGCTTCAAATTTTGAACTTTGTCACTGAAGTGAAAGTGGGATGCACTTCCCCACATATTATACAATAGATTAGTTATATCAATATACATGCCTTGTACACTATGCAAAATAATATATTGATAAAACTGTAGAGCAATATATAAATTGAATAAAAACTAAATGACTTGAAATCTAAATGGAAACAAGAATAAAAATGACATGATAGACCCTTTGAGATATTGCAAGAGTTCAATTATTGTATGATGCAGTGCAAGAACGATATAACCAATTTATTTGGAACTTCACTGATTTAGTACTTTTCCTTTATTTAGGAAACATCTTAGAATTTCATTATTATTAGGATCAGTAGAGTGTTTTTGTTTTTCTTTCCTATTTTGAATAGGAATCTTTAAGGTTATGGCGCTCCTATATAAGCGCACATATGTCTTGCATAAAGGAAGCTATTTTATGGTAATGAATGAGAATCTTAGTTTCTACTTTGAGAGCGTTTCCTCTAATGTGTATTGAGGTGCATTCCTCGTGCAGGGTGGATTCCTCTTGTTTATTCTGTTCTTTTTCCTTCTGTTCCACATCACTCATAGATAACTAGGTTACATTGTGAAAACAGTAGCATGAGGCACATGGAATCCCATGTGTATCAGCAAGGACCAGCAAGGCTAAATACTCATAGGTGACTAGTTCCACAGTATTACCTCTAGGAAAGAGTATTTGTGGCTAACGTTCTTTTACTGATCTATTTGTCTACAATGATTAGATTCTTATAGACGACTTCCTGTATGAATCATAAATAAGTCCTGTTTGAAGAGGTTTATACTGGAATATAGGAATGCCTTGAAATCATCGCAATAGCAATAACTCCTCAAAATCAGATCAAGAGTGAGAGATTCAGAAGCTCAATAAGCCAACTAGAAATTTCATGGAATCCCTTGTTCCCAGGGGATGTTTTCGATGCCAAGGAACATGTGCTTGGGTGTCTATGTAATTTGTCGGTTGGGACAACAGAAGGGAAATAAATTTCTCCTATCGTTAATCAGTATCAATGACCGGGAAGGAATGGAACTTTTGCACTATTTGTAGAAACCTGTACCAATGGTGCAGTCGGTTTTGAACAAATTCAGTACTTAGTAGCATGATTTGGGAGAGCAGTAGGTAGATAGGTCTTACAAGTTACAGGAATCCTACTCACTCTCCAAAATTTTTTGGAGTACAATACACTTAAAATCTAGAAATCGTAGATGGTGGGGATTTTTTCTTCTATTGCTGGATATAAAATCACTGAGTTTGGTAAAAGTTTTCACTTAGAGGAGGTTGCAGACTGCCAATTATTTGATAGGATGCCCAAGTTTATTGGATATAGTCATGCTAGAATTATTTATTTATATTGTTCAAGCGAGTTTCTTAGTTAGTCTCCATACTTCTGGTTTCTTTATGATATGGATACAAATTACATACACAGCTAGATTGACAAGATATGAGTTTGTGAACATAAATTTGGTTGGAATATGTGCAGGTCTTCCTCACTTTTTGTACTCTTGTGACTCTATATTTTGCGGATGAGGTTCCACTAAATGTTAATCAACAACACCATTTATCAGATTCTGCTCCATTGTTGAATGATCCACAACAAAATGGCCACGAACTTTCAAAATCTGAGTCTCACATGCCAGGTCTTGACAATTCAAGTGGGAATAGTGCCAACCATGACTATGAACTGAGTGTGAATTCAAAGCACGCCAACTCTGTAGAGGATCGAAATGAAAATTTCAGTGATGGACCAGGTGCTGTGGTAGTCAATTTATTAACCAGTTTAAGACATTTACCACCTGGAATGCATTCAGTGCTTGTTGTTATGGCTCTAACTTGGGTAAGCACTTTGGTAACTGTGTCTTGTTATTTCCAGAACTTCATGTTCCCTTCTGGTTTCCTTTAGTCCAAACTCTATCAAGAATACATGTATTCACTGTTCCTGTAATGGTAACTTGATGCACTCTTTCCTTAATTTATTTGCAATAATGATTTTACATGCAGTTGTCCTGGTTCCCATTCTTTCTTTTTGATACGGATTGGATGGGGAGAGAAGTTTATCATGGAGATCCTAAAGGGAATTCTAATGAAGTGAAGTTGTATGATCAAGGAGTCAGAGAAGGTGCATTTGGTTTGCTGTTGAATTCTGTAAGAACTCAAAATTGAGCATTGATGGTTTCTTTTTTGTTGAACATCATCAGAAAAACCGACTCTGTTATGAATCTAAAACTTATACGATAATTGCATTAGTAATGTGGGAAGTTCTTTAGCCAAGGACGAAAAGGACATTACATAGTAATTCAAAAAATTTGGAAACTTTGACATGAGCGGAGGATTAGTGAGATTCATCCCTTCAAAGAAAGAAAATAGGGAAAGTTATGTGGGATGCAATTGAGAAAATGGGGAAAAGTTGAATCATATATAATGGAAACTAGAGGAAACTAATGCATTAACTGATAGGACCTAGGAAATCACAAAACTTAAGCAACAAACAGAGGAAAAGAAAGCAAAACGATAACAAAAGTTATGAGAAAAAAAGAAGTTGTAGCATATTGACATACAAGAACTGGATTTTAAGAGCCTCATTCGAAATTAACTAAAGACATTTATCCTGTTACTTCTCATGTTGTGCTTTGCAATAATTGAATTATCCTGATTGTCTCAAAAACTATTTTTCTTATGTTCTGTTATGATACAGGTGGTTCTTGGCATTAGTTCGTTCTTGATTGAGCCAATGTGCCAGAGGTTGGGGTCAAGAGTTGTATGGGCAACGAGCAACTTTATTGTATTTGTCTGCATGGCAGGCACTGCTGTTATTAGTTTGATATCAGTTGGTGAATATTCTGAAGGAATTGAACATGTGATTGGAGGAAATGCACCAATCAGGATAGCTTCCTTGATTGTATTTGCTCTTCTTGGCTTTCCTCTTGCTGTATGTTCCTGTTCTAGTAGAATAACACTGTATTTGTGAATTTCTTCTCTGAATAGGGCTGTAATTGTTTGTTTGTGTGCTGCAGATTACCTACAGTGTTCCATTTTCGGTCACAGCAGAGTTGACTGCTGATTCTGGCGGTGGTCAAGGTTTGTATGCAAATGTATTTTCTCTAGCAACTATTTTTACTTAATATGGCTATTGCATTAACCTGATCTTGATGTTCACCGTGTTTCAGGATTGGCTATAGGCGTTCTCAATCTTGCAATAGTTATTCCACAGGTAGAACACATGATGTATTTTGTTGTTAATAATAAACCAATATGACGTTCTCTATTGAACTCCAGTAGTTTTGTTGGACTTTGGTACGCTGTTACCATGTGTCAGTTTTGTATTTTGGGTCAAATGATAATGTTAGGTTATTGTTGCTGACATTTAAATGATGGGCTATAACACGTATACACTTTCCGTGACACACTTCAATCTTCTTGCGTCTTTGTTATTCCAGTTAATTATTCTTCAGTTATTCCACTTTCCGTTTCCATTTTTTTTTTCTTTTTCTTCTCAATTCAGTCAATGTTGATTTTCATGTGTATTGTTGATCTGTTAGATGATTATATCCATTGGTGCTGGTCCATGGGATGCGCTGTTTGGTGGAGGAAACATACCAGCCTTTGTTCTGGCTTCTGTGTGTGCTCTTGCAGCTGGTGTTTATGCAACTCTCAAGCTGCCAAATCTTTCAAGCAGTTCCTTCAGTGGTTTTCATTTTGGCTAACCGCCAAACCATACTCATCATGTTGACATGAAGCCGAAGTGAAATCATCAAGTACAGGAGGGTGCAAGTTGGTCTCCAGTTGGAGAGATAGCTCTTCGATTTTGCGTACGTATAATTTTTATATCAAAAGAATTATGCATTACAGAGTTCTAATTCATTAATTTTTTGCCCTACATTGTGGGCCTCTGTACCTCATGTAGTGTGTAAATCATTTATATTGGAAAGCTCATACAGGCATATAGAAATCAAGACATAACTGATCTAAGTTTACATTTTATGTAGTTTTAAACAGAAATTGTATGATAATCATCATTTAAGACTGTTGTGCCTGGCTTGTTTGTTGCCATGTCCATCTCCTTATAGATGCTTGATGGCCCATTGATATTATCTTTTGTTTTTACTTCGAGTTCCAGGCCATTTATTGGGGCTGTAGGTTAGGGGTCGGGTTAGTGGGTCACCGGGCTTGGCGCACAAATTTGATTAGGGGCTTTGCTGAATGGAGTGTATGACTAAAATTGAATCATCAGGGAAAAGTTCAACTTGGCTCTCAGTTGCCATGACAATATCTTGTTCCTCTTTGTTGACAGCCTCAGCCTCAGCCTCAGCTTCTATATGTTTTTGTTCGGTAGGTACTACTGCTGACTTGTTCCTTTTTTTGTTTTAAGAATATTTTTGAACTAGTTTTTGTGCTTAGAGACTAAGTCTCTTCTTTGTTCAGCCTTAAGTAGGCCCGTAACATCCTGAATGATGTACTGACAATGAATTATTTTCTTGCGGATTTCTTAAAATTCCTTTCATTACCAACCAACCTGAACCTTCACAGGTGGTAACAAGTAATTTAGTGGAAGCTGATAGTGATAGCGAATTTCCAATGAATCGTCGTCATCCTGGCACTGAAATTTATTGGTTGATACTTTGGCTATTGCCCTCTCGAATTGGCGGTTGGGTAACTTGTTTTACTTTTCACGTCAGTTTTGGCGTCTTCTCATGCTAATTCTCTATTGGGAGAAGACTTGTAAATAAAATCTACATAGGGTAAGTCCTGGGTAACCTGTTTTACTTTTCACGTCAGTTTTGGCGTATTCTTATGTGGTGATAGCTGTATTCTATATCTTTTTTGTTTCCATTGGCTTAATGTATGAATGACGTAGTAGGCTTAGTCTAGGAAGAGAAGGCAAGTAACGGATTTTGTAGAGAAATGGAGAATACTAGTTGCGTCTTTCCATGCAAACCATACGCTTAATTACTTGATTTATAGATTCGGAGCAGGTAAACGCTTTCTGGGGACGCCCCGTCGTAGGATTTTTATGTTTTTCAAACATTTCTTACACTTGGTTGAAGCTACAAGCCAATTTTAGATGTTTCATCCTTTAAGAAGTGCAAACAGTGTACCGCTAGAACTTTCTGTCCTTAATATTTTTCATTTATCATTTTTTTTAATTCCGTTTCTTCTTCTTATTATTATTTTTTGGAGATTATACTATTCGACCATGGTTTTAGTTCCCGGTTTCGTCACGGATACGACTGTGGTCACGATGAAATGAGCCATCATGGATGTTATCTAGCAGTCACTGACTCATAGTTATATGACCTGCAAAATATGCTAAAACTTAAAATAAATAGAATTGGTGCAAGTCATGTTTCAATTATCATCGTTAATTTTGAATTTAATGATTTTTACTATCATTTTTTATTCTAAATTTAATAATTTTCTTTAAAAACATAAAGTATCTTAATTCAAATTAAAAAAACGAAATTGCCAAAGATTGTTTTTGAAAAAACATGATTTATACTAGAATATTGCTTGAATATGCTTCCTTTATCTGTTTTCTTTCTTCTTTACAAATTCTTATATTACAATCTAAAGTTCCAACAAAAATAGAATGATATTTCGATTTCTTTTGATGAAAAGATATTTTATATAGTATGTTTAGTTAATTAGTTGTTGCTCGGCGACCAATCCTGAAATGTCACGATGATGAAGGGGGTGGTGTTTAATGGGCCACCTGTCTTTGAGAAAAAGTTAAACGCGGCCTCGAGGGAAAATTAAATTAATAAAACATAAGACTAGCATGTCCTTTTTTGAAAATTATTATTATTGATTTTTTAGCATGAAAACATAGCAGGTCTAGTAGTTGACAAATCAACATCGATGCAATATTTCCATGGCCCAAAATTCGAAAAATAAGAACATAATCATACAGAGGGAAAATAGAGTGACGTCGAGCAAAGACGGCACATGGGATCGGTTTGAACGGGACACTTCATAAGCACGAGGGGGATGGTGAGGCTAGAAGAATGGGCAGCTTGTTTATCTTTAGCAGTAAGTAACGTTAGATTAGTCTCCAACTTATATACCAACTCTCAATTGGGCCCTCAATCTATTCTCCTATCAACTGTGTTCCCAATGTAATTTCTAATTAAGTCTCACGTCCAAATCTGTTTGTAATATCTTCCATCTACACTACCTATTTTATGCAACAAAACCATGCCTTTTCTGAGAAAACTTAAAAAGAAAATTTAAATCAAAAAATTCCAATGGCTTTAAACAGAAGGACTTAATTGAAGATATATGTTGAATGAGGACACAATTGATAAAAAAAAAAAGAATAATGCTAATAGGTTTTTCACTCAAATAAATGATGCAATAGCCTATGGCTAAACGACACGAAATACTAAATTTAGAAATATTTCCTTAAAAGCAATATCATTTATATAGTAAAAGTATATTAATATATCTAGTAAAAAAAAAAAAAAAACTCTCTTTTGAGAGTATCCTGAGTTTTTCCTTAGTTGCCACCATTGAAGGCAGCATTAATTTTACTTCTTTTTCTTTTTAATTCTTTTTGTCCACAATAATTTCAAATCTATCAGTTTTTTTCCTCCTATGGTTTTATGAGTCTTTTTGTAGCAATAAATGTTTTATGCAGATTACTAAAAAATTAATATTTAGATATTTTATTCAAAAAAATAAATATGAAATAGAAGATCAAAGCAATAGAGTTATTGATATATATATATATATATATATATATATATATATATATCGGTTGTTCATTCACTTGTAAAATATTTATATATATATATATATTAGATCCTGTTCTAAATCTTTAATTTTTAAGCAATATTTTCATTGTATATTTTTTAGGCATCATCAATTTAGCATGCAAACTCATTCCCTTCTATATATTGAAGAGTATTTTTGTATATTGATTGGCTTTAGATCTATGTAAAAACTAACCTTATTTTCAGTTCAGTTAAATTTCTATTTTGATTAAAAAATTAATAATAATAATAATAATAAATAGGTTGGCAATTCAATTGAAAAATGGTGTGTTAGTCCTTAGAGAGAGAAAAAAGAAAAGAAAGGAAAGGAAATAGTGCCTTGCTTTCTGGCTAAGAACATGGATCCACCCCATTCCAATGGGGTGACCTTCAGCTTCCAACTAATAAAGTCATGGAATGCTGTGGGAGCAGCTTTGTCCTTTTCCCTATTTTAAATCAGTATTACGTGGGTCCCACCCCACCCCATCCCACCCAGTGTAGTGGGTCCTACTTAAACCCTTCAGTTGTAAGATAGATCCTCCGCTATAAAAATAAGGCTAGCCAGTGATTTTTCCAATCAAAGTTGCAGCTTTGACAACTGTAATAAACTAATAAGAATTAACAAATCCCAATAGGCAAGAATCTCTCTCTCTCTTTTTTTTTTTTTTTTGTCCTTAACCCACAAGAATCGCAACATGCAAGAGTTCCTTCATGGGCAACTTGTTAAAGTTATTTTGACATATGGACCGATTTTATATAATATTTTCTCTTCATCTTATTAACTTGAAATTTTAAACTTGAGAAAGTAACACACATCAAATGTGGACCAAAAACTAGGAAGGGATCTCAGAGATATATGTTTCTGTACAGTAAAGATTTAAATGAATGACGATGCATTTGGCATTTTCAATGTGAAAATCCCAACCTTCAATCACTTGAAAGACTAATCGAAATCGCCCAAAAACCCATGACATCATCCACGAGTTTGTGGACGTTGTATGCTTGTGGCTAAATTAGCTATTTTTGGGTCCATGTGTTGGATACTTAAATTCTTTTCAGGGTCCAGTTTGCCTGTTTACTTTCCGTGCTATCGCACATCATAAATCGCGAGAAGTTAAAAGGACAAGTAGAGAAAGAAAGTAATAGATACTACAACGTCTCCCTGTATTATTGATATTAAAAAAAAAAAAAAAAAAAACTTTTTTACGATTTTAATTTGACAACTTGGATAACTTTAGTATTCTCCTTCTGTTCCTGCTTATTTTTTCCTTTTCGACTTTCTTTTTCTCGTTATTCACATCACTATTTTCGTTTTTTGTCTCACTTTCCCATCAATCACTCTTCGTTGCTTTTTATTCTTTATACTTTTCACGGCTCCGTTCTTCTTCTTGCTATTTCCATGCTCTATCCATTCCTTTTCTTGTTCGTTCTATATTTTTTTCAATGGTATGATACGTTAGACATCAGAGATTTTTCTGTCTATAATCAACTCAATTTTTATTTTTTATTTTTGTTAATTTTGACTTTTGAAAGGAAACGAGTGAAATGTGTCAGCTTTATACCCATTCTAATTTTTGAAATACTGAAAAATGATTATAAATCTGAAAAAAAATGATTAAAATTTTTTTTCCAACGTATTTATTCATATATAGATTTTTTTTACTTTACTTTAAAAATATAAAAAATAATTTGTTAATTTTTTTCTTTTTAAATTAAATAAAAAAATGAAAAGTAATTTCATGCAAAAAATAAATAAAATGTCGGCAATTTTTTTTTTAACATTTTTTTTGCTTTCTTAAATTTTTTTTCAAAGTCTCGTGTCTAAGGGTTTCTTGAGAACCGATCGGACGATTGGTCGACAAACTAGTCAAAATACAAAAGTTAGTATCGTGATTTGTAAAAGTAACGATCAACCAACCAAACGAAGAGGATGCAAATAATGATAGACGTGGAAG